AAACCCACTGCAGGGGAAATGAAAGCTGGGCTGGGTGCTGCAGCCGGGTCAGCTGTGAGGGACACGCAGCTCTAGGAAGCAGTAGGGGCCTTGGTATTCCCGGGAGGCCTGCTGACAGCCGGGCCAGGCCCTGTCCCATACTGAGGCTGGGGAGAAAGACAAGGTGACGCCCTTGCTACCAGCTGGGAGGAGTTTGGGGAGCAGCAGCCAGGGGACCTCTCTGGCTCTTTCTAACTATGATGCCACCCAAACCTGAGGCTGGGCAGGGTCCTGTGGCTACTTTCATAGCGGAGACCTGCTCTCTGACGTGTAAGTATAGGGGTCTGTCATTTCAACTTCTCTCTTTATACCAATCAGTCTCGCCAGCTTCCTGGGCGCTACAGGGTCACGTCAATTCCAGAAGCAGCGATTACAGAGACCTCTGCACACGGACCGCAGGGGGCCGGTCACTCAGGCGCTCACTGGAAACGGAGTCAGGAGCGGTCCCCTCCACCCGGCCGCCCAGGCCCGTGGGCTTTTTGGCTCACAATACTGGTAGCTTTACCGGAAGATAAGGTAACATTACAGGAAAACCTAGATGTCCAGCTTTTTTTGTGAAAAATCTTTCGACCAGCATTACTTTCAGATGGTAAATAAGAATATAAAAGCATTTATTTGAGCAAAAGAAGCTGCAGCCCAGGAGGCTCGGATTTAGGGAGCAACCCCACAGCACTCCGGGGAGAAGACAGAGAGGTTCTAAAGGCAAAACCACTCGGGTGATGCTTTCATGCAAATGAAGGATCAGGCTCGGTCCACAGGGATTGGTTAGTTCCAATATGCAAATGAAGGGGCGAAAACTACAAGGAGGAAGTCAAGTCCCTGTAACAGCAGGTCCGGGATGTTTATGGCTCAACCTTGAGGGAAAGCCATAGCACCAGGTTTAGCAACTTAGTAGCAGCTCTGAGTGCTGCCTCATGAGGCCGCATTCTTATTTCTCTGTGTCTGTCTCTCCCTCCCAGTTACTCTGCAATTAGACCGCATTAGCTTTCTTCTCGCACTAAATAAAGCACCGGTCTAACGCCATCATCTGCAAGTGAGAGATTCCGTTGGCTCGAGCGGTCAGAATGGCCTCCTGGGAAAGGCTGGATGTGAAATGAGAACAGAAAGAAGAAGAGGCCATTCCCGGAGGAGGGAACAGCATGACCAGAAGCAAAG